TCACGTCGTGAACTTTAGGTCCCCCTTCACTGAGTTGTTCATGAAGAAGTCGCTTGGCAGTGGCGTTCAAGACAATGAACCCAGTCTTCTGAGCTGAAACCTTGAGATTGTCTTTCTCAAGCTCCTTTTTCACAAACTCATAGGCTTGTATTGCTACCCGAGCCGCATTGTGAGGATTGCGGTCAACAACATCAAAACTGAAATCGTCGATCCATAGATCAGAGCGCAGCTGCGGGTACTTCTTGTGGAATTCTCTGAGGGCTCTTTGAAGGTACACCTTTGCAGCTAGAGGCGCTTGAGGATCTCCAGCCAAAATGCCATGCGTTGCCCACAATGGTTGTGAGGCTTCACCTTCAGCTTCAAGGATTCTCTGCCCGCTGTATACTTGTACCGCTAGCGCTGCATGAGCTGCAGGGTAACTGGAATCCAACCATCGTTCTGTCAGCTTGACCAAATCAATTCTGTCATAGAAGTTGGACATGTCAAGGAGAACAGAAATGACAGTTCGGTTGTGTGCTGCGTGGTGTTCCGTCATAAAGGATCTTTTGAGGGCTACTTGCAAACACTCTGTTCCAGGAACTGCACGCTCCCACGGGTATTCCTGTTGAATATTGCTGGACCATCGCTTGGTTTGGTCACTGCGGACCCGGCACCATAGGCGGTAGAGAGTGGCTACCAGTGCTATTGGCCTCTCAATGATGGCTGACTTTGGCAATAAAGCTATCAATGATGTCTTCCATTGATTTGGGATCATGGCCTGCTCTTTGATGGTTTGAAAAAGGTCTCGCAGGTCCTTCATGGCTGCGTATGGCAAGGCCTTCAGGAAATCAAAGCCAATCCCGTCCAATCCAGCCGCCTTCAAACTGAGTGACTTGATGGTGCGCCAAACGTGGCCTTCACTGAGGTATGGCAATGTTTTTGCACTTTCCAGGCATCCAATCAAGACTGGTGCTTCCTGGATCTGCCAGATGCTGCCCCATTGCTCGACTCTCTTAGGCATGCGCTGGAGCCGCGGTAGATGCTGGAAAGGCCTCATGTAAGGAAGTTCATCACGCTTCAAAGTCCGGAAAAGCCCTCTGCAACCTGTCTGAGTTGCTTGTGCCAGCCACTGTCTATATTCTTCAGTTTCAAGCTGTGAACTAGAGGCCTGATGCAGCTCTCTCTGAGTCTTAACTTCATTGAGCAGCACATAGATGTGATCTGAACTGTGGCTGTGCCAAAGCATCTCGAAAAGGTTTTTGAATCCTTCACTCTTGGTCTTGGAGTCCGGGTGCCAATGTGCCTCAATATGCCATCCCAGTTTTTGGAGTTGGCTTTGATGTCGCGGTTCTCGATTCTGCAAGTGAACAAGCTGTTGGAGGCGAACTTCAATCTGCCCCCAAAAGGCTAGGCTGCCCCTCTTCCATAGCCAGGGTTTGCTGGCATCACGCAACGGTCTTTGGACAAACTGCAAAGTCACTCCCCTCCCTAAGGTTGGCGCGTCAAGCTGTTGCAGCACATACCGCTCTATGCGGCTGCATAGGTCTGAGTGAGAGGATCTGTCTGTCTGTTGAGCCATTGCACCTGGGTGTCTTGCTCATCAGTTTGATGCCACTCATAGCTTGGGTTTTTGAGCTGAGGAGCAGGTCCGAACTTGCTGAGCTGTCTGACCGTTAGGTCCTGGAAATGCCCTGCTATCTTGAACTGCAACATAGCGTGCGGCTTGAAGGGAACTATCCAATTTGACTGCACCGCTACATCTGCTGCCAAGGATGTTGATATCAGGGCCCAATCAATCTCACTGCCTGTGTTGCAGGTGGCTTCTCCCGTTGCTAGAACCTGCACCTGCATGACTTGAGCCATGGTGGTCGTCATGAAAGCTCCCGGGTCTAAATTGAAATCTCCAGCAACAATCACCGGCTTGCGCACACTAGTGACAAAGGAAATCAATCCTGCCCACAGCTGTGAGTTCGTCGGTCCTTGAACACCTTCTCCACACTTGAAATAGGAAAAAACCAGAATGATTTCACAGTTTTCAAAGGACCAGACCACTGCATACCAGCCACAACCTTCTATGATCTGCTTTTGAACAAAGTGAAAATGGAGGTTGTGTGGGAAGATGATCATCATCCCCCCGTTGGTACCTCCTTTCGTGCTCTCTGCAGCCGGTTCCCCAAGGGCGCTGAGCGCCCGGGTTGTTAGCCACTGCATGGTTTTCTCATGGTCTTGCTTGCCCAAATGTGTCTCAACAATGCATATGGGCTGCCGCGGTCTCGTGAGCAGCCATTGTCTCACGCCTTGTCCCAGCTGTGTCACGTTGGCAAAATCAAATTTCACGCACTCCTGACGTTGTCTCTTTGCCGGTGCCTCTCCTATAGGATGCTCAGGCTCCATATTGACATCACAAGGTATGTCAGTCGGCAGCAAACACTCTGAAGGTAGGGCCCAGACTTGGACAATCTGTTGCTGTGTTTGCTTGAGAACTTGTGGCATCACTCGAGGATAGGCTCCATCATCGACAATCCAGCTGAGACCTCTGTACAGGAAAACAGCATAGTAATGTCCACTGTTGTTTGAACTACCAGCATGGCACAAATAGCCTATGACCGAGAACTGTTTGGTGCATGTGGCATCTCCATCCAGCGTGATAGGCAGGTTGAAGATGGATGGAACGTTCAATGCCCTGTGATGTTTGGTCCACTCACCATGGACCTTGGCATAGCGTCCAACCTGAGCCACCCATAAGCCCTGCCCATCAAAAACTTGACCTTCTTGGTAATTTGCCCATTCTGAGATCAAATGTTCCAGCTCCGCAGGTCCCTCCTTTTCAGGAAAGATCAAGTGAACCGGAAAGGCCTGTCGGTGATGTACTTGTTGTGCGAAATCAACCGAATGATAGCTCTTGATGACTTGCTCTGCTTGAGCCAGTTCAACCATCTCCTGCAGAAAATATGATGCATCATCTTGCGTGTTGTCATCAAACTTGTTCGACAGAGATTCTAGGCCAGGAAGAGCAGGTAAATGGACAGTGTCATCCGAGTTCAATGCCCCTTGAGCTGCTGGTGTTGTAAGCTGCCATAGCTTTTCTCCACCCATGAAGCTGCCCGCCCATGCCCATAAGCGAAAAGCTGAATTTGCATGGCACCGATTTCTAGGGTTTCCCAATCGGCACTGTAGGTTCTGTGCCACGTAATCCAAGGAACTCATCGGACCTTGGAGTCCTGCAGCTGAGCCAAAATTGGCTTCCATCGAATCTTCTTGTGAGCTGTGCATTGTATCATCACCAGCTCCCCCACAAAAGCCAGGATAGGTGCTCCCATCCCTTGTTTGGGTCAAGTCCGAAGGACCTGGCCCCCCCTTCTCAGGGTCGGCAACCATAGCTGCCTGGCCTGAGCCAAAACCTGCACAACCAATGTCAATGCCATGGCATTGCCCCATGCCAAAACCGAAGAACCTGGTTGTGGATTCCCCTCTCTCTTGCTTGCTATAGCATGGATTGTTACCCACACTTCCTCCTTTTTGACGCGCTCTCTGCAAGCTTTGATGCCAGATCTTGAACCTGGGCGCTGGTCGCCTGCAGGCCTACACTAGCCATTGCTGTGTTGAGCGCCTCTGGGGAGAGGTCTTCAGCCATTTCAGCATCGTTCTGTTTCTCTTGCTCCAGTTGTTGATTGTATTGAGTTGCGGTCGTCTGCAGCTCTTTCTGTGCGACTTCAATCTTTCCTTGGAGCTCCTTGAGATCTTGCAATAACTGCGTGTACTGGGCCTTCACTGCATCTGCTTTTTGCTGCAAGGCTGCCTTCTTCTCTGACAACTGCTTGAGCGAGCCCACTGCTTGCTTGACCTTGGACGCAAGGGTAGGTTCAGGCTTGTCAGGTGTGACTATCTTCTCCACAGCCTCTTTCAAGTCTGCTGGCAGACTAGGCAAGTGCTCTCGTATGAGCGTTGGCAAATCCTGTGTCACTGGTGGCTCTGGTGCTTGCCACCCCATGGCCATGCATTGATTGCGGAAAGCTTCTGGCAATTGGTTCCAGTGCTCCTTCATGGCCTTTTGCATGCCTAGGTCCTTGCCTTTTTTTGCTTTCCTCTTTCCACCCCCTTGGAGCCCTGGAGGTGGATCAAGTAGAGCTTCCTTGAAGGTTTTCTTGGGCCAGTTGGCACCTGCTTTGGAGAAGTTCCATGCCGCCCATGTGACCTTCCGTCTGAGATCAGGTAGAAGATCCTGCTGCCATGCATTTCCACACTGATTGCATGTCAGCTGAGGCTTGCTCACCAGGCGGTCCTCCCATATCCAGCTTGCGCGGCAATGCTGGCATACTCGATAGCTTCGCCTCATGGATCGCTTCGTGCTCCTCGTTCTGGCCGAACTGAAACTCAGTGAAGAGGTGTCCGTGCCCTCCTTCTTTGCCTCTGTATCCGTTGGATACAGGGCTTGATGCTGAAATGGCTTGAGCCACATATGCAACATATAGATACTTACTCTATATATATATATACTGTAATGATACTGGGGACCAATGACTTAGGACTTGTTGGGTCCAATGACATAGGTAGTTGCCAGGTCGGTTTACCCAAGTCATGGAGCAGAGAGCAGAAAACATTGGACATCTACCTGAGTGAAATGAAAAGCGATATGACTTAAGAGTTGCGCGCAAAAGATGATATCAGCATATGTTTGTCCTTGATTCTACCATTCCAGGAATCCTCAAAAGGGTGAGGGTGTCGTAAGTTTCCTGATCTTGCTAGTTTGCTTCATGACTTGGGACACGGCTTTTGGCACATGTTACTCTTCCCTCATGACATGGGAGTTGTGTTTTTGACTATACTTCCGACAAATCCCATGTCAGTGGTGGCAAGTATATCTATAATAAATATATAGAGAGAGGGAGAGAAAGAGAGAGAGAGAGAGAGATAGGCTAGTAGCCTTGGTCACTGCGGTCTTAAAGCTTAAAATGTATGTGAACATGTGAATTCTCATCATGAACCCCGTTCTCTGTAGCCCTTGGCATTCAGGGCCAGGCCATGCAAAAACACGTGAGGAACGGTGGCCTTGGTAGTCTCAAAGGACAAGCGTCCATGGTCGTGTCATCATGTCCAAAAGACTGCACACAACAACAGGAGTACCTTCATTGATCCTCCCAATGTAGTTATTGCCTTTGCACAATGTCAGTCAATTTTGTTTCCATCCGACACCTTCGCCAAACATGACTCACTCAGCTCTCTCTCTCTCTCTCCAAGTACCCTTGCACAGCGCCAATAAACTCCAGCAAGGTGGTTGTCTTTCGTTTCAAACCTCAAGGCGCATTCTGCAGCCCCCCGCAAAGTGGCGAGCAATTGAGCAGCACTAGAGTCAATGAAACACAAGAGCTGCAAGGGTACAATTGACCTATATAACTAAGGAAGAAGCTCATTTTGCGCCGTAACCCATAAACAGGAAAAAGAAGCCCCAGTAGAAAGCCGGCTTGTTTGCATGGGTTCCAAAGGCCGCTGATATACTACGCAAACGCAGACGGCTGATGACAACTAGAGACAGCCAGAGCTGGAGACAACCGAAAACACCGCAGAGGCGACCCAAACAACCCAGCGCATGCGAAGACAGCCGGAGACAAACGGAAACAGCCAGACACACCATAGTAGAGGCGACCCTAGCAATCCAGCACAGCCGAAGACGGCCAGAGACATCCAGAGACATCGCAAAAGAGGCTACCCAAGCAATCCAGCACTCAGCACAACCGGCAACAAGTGGAGAAACCTCTGCAACCAGCAAAAGCACCCTTTCAAAGGAGTAAGAACCCCTCACAGGTAAACCTGTTTGGGGAAGTGTCAGATTTTTGGCAAGGCCAAGTGAGTGTTGAAAGTTGAGATGTTGAAGCGGGATGCAAAACAAAATCCCCAGCTTAAATCTTGGAAACTCAACTAAAACCCAGCAAAGTCGAACAACCTTCAGCTTAGCCTGAGTCCTTTTTCTCCACAAATGGGCATCGTCAACACCAGCTGTTTGCTGCCAGGGCAGCACGGGTGCCACCTCACCTACTCGGCCACCTTTGGATCGGCCACCTTTGTTGGTTCCTCTGCTGCTTCCTCTGCCCGAGCTTCCTCTGCTGGTTGCTCTGGCTCTTTCAACTCTGTTTCCTCTTGCGCCTCGGCAGATTCATCAGGTGAGTCAACATCCGCGTTCCCTGGTGAATCGAGATCCACAGCTGAACGCGGAATGAAAACAGGAGCCTGTGCATTGAAGCTACTAGCACCTTCACGAGCTGCATTTTCAAGCATTGCACGGACCCCTTCCTGGCTCGGCAATTCTGCCTTTTTGCCCGTCTTCGGTGCAGGTGTGGCACCTAAACCTGGTGGCGGACTGGCCACAGAGGAGAAAAGTGTGTTGCCACACGGTTGCTCGAGCGGTGGGAGCGAAGCGGCCTGATGCTCCAATTGAGTGAGCCGCTCTGTCAGGGCATCCAAGGCACGCTGTTTTGCTGCCCCTGCCCGCAACATGCGGTCCACCTTATCAATCTGTGCATCCACCTGCTCTGCCTTCGGCACTGGTTGTGCATCAAGCTTTCGTCTAGCCTCGTCAAGGGCATCCCGATGATGTCGCATGAGGTCGGAATTGTGGTTGTGAGCCAAGATTGTTCGGTGCAAGTCCTGCTTCAGAGCTTTCACCTCGGAACCCCATTTCTGTTCCAATTCTTTGATTTTTTGACTCAGAAAAACACGGTCAACGGTAGAGTCTGGAGGAGAGCCGGCCACACCGGCCGCGCCATTCAATCGCACGCAGCGGTCTAAGCGCTGTGACAACTCCGTGATGTGTGCCTCCATCTGTTGCATTTGAGTGCGAGCAACATTCAGTTCGTGCCGCACACGTTGTTCGGAGTCCTTCTTGGCCTGAAGAATCATCTGCTCAACCTGCTGGCCAATGGCTGACGCCACATCACCGTGGAGCGACGCCATGGCCCGGGTCCGCCCCTTGCCGAGCCTTCTTGGCTTTGAGCCAACCTGCAAGCCACGGAGCTAAGAATAAAGAGCGCTCACAACAAGACTGGTGTTTGCATTCTGGGCAGTCTGGGCCCTGAGTGCACTCTGGGCACTACGCCAGCCACATCCAACCAAGCTAGTGCCAAATTTGTAGCCCTTGGTTGGAGCAACTCAAGTCAAAAGATGATTCTCTTCACCGCACATATTAGCCACAGCTAAGGGCATGGCTGGAAGACCGTCACCAGAGCAAACATGATTGAAGGCCTTCAAGGAATAGATCTGTTGTGTTTATGTAAGAGCATAGTCCCAGTCTACGTTCTTCCTTGTCTTCCTCTGCCACTCAGTACTTTGCCAGTTCAATTTGTTGAACACACCCAAGCAAACATGTTTTGTTGAGAAAGCGGACATATGACATGGACACTTCTGAGCACTTGCGACGATCTTCTCAAAGTTGTGTAGACATATATATCCCGCCGGAGCCACAAATGCAGAAAGTTGTAGCCTCGAAGTCTGCCAGACAGTGAGCGCTTTGGCGCTCGCCCGCTTCAAACAGTGAGAGCTTCTGCCCACTGTGCAAAGAGCTTTTGTGTATGCTCATTCGCATCTTTACAGGATTTCCGAACCCACCACTGGCACACATAGCGCCACAACAAGCCATGGACTTGCCCTTCTGTGCTTCGTGCAGTGATCGGCTTCGGCACCCATCCCTTGAAATACACATATGCGCACTAGACGACACGAAAGCAAAGATCTTGCCCACCTCCCGCACCCCCCTTGAGATACACATGTGTGCGCAGGACGACACGCATGCAAGCATCTTGCCTATCCCCCCGAACCCCATTGAGATACACATCAAGATGCGCAGCGTGCCCTCGGAAAAATTGGACAGTTCTGAAATCGAAATGCCACTGGGTTCTATGTAAAGAACAAAATCTTGTGCGAAAACAGTGCGCTGTTGTCGCGCAAAAAAATCCAACAAGGCAACATTGCATAAACATGTAAAATACATTTAAAAAGTAATAATAAGAATAGGAATAGTTTTAAAAAAAAATAATCAACACGGTGAATTGTGTACTACTGTCTTAAGTAAACCCGTCTGGATGTATATATATATATAACTATATATATACACAGTATAAGCATGTGTAACAAAAAAGACTGGCGCCCAGGCGAGCGATATTCCAAGACAGTCAAGCCTCGTTGAGAGTCACTCGTGACTCATAAACGCACAGCACACACAAAAAATCGAACATGTTAACAATTATGTGTTTATGTAATTTGTTTTTAATCTATTTCCCCAACATCTTCCTCACATAAGGAGAAATAAACTGAGGTGTGGGCCAATCATGTAGTAAGACATTGTCATGCAAATGTGGTTCACTCCAAAGGACATGCAAACCTAGGTGTGAATTATTCACAATCCTTTGATATGCGATGTCTCAGTGATTGCATCTCATGCGATAGTTCCTCAAATACAACCAATCCATTGATCTGAGTCTCCTGCACGTGCATACGCATCATAGCATTGCCACTTGGCCTGCAACCTTGACTCTGTTGGCTAAGTTTTCTCTGAGACTAACCATTGAAGAACAATGAGTCTTTGCTGCACAGGGTCAAAAATGTGACCTTTTTGTTCTTTCATTGGTTCTACTGTATCCTGCGTCCCGTGTTTGTTCTTTCGTTACCTGTTGGTCCTTTGTCTCTTTGTCTTTCTCTTCTTTCTCATATGTTCTTTCCTTTTTCCTTAGAGTCTTAGACCTTTAGACTCTAGATTTGTGTCCACCAAAGGTGGCATTATTCTAGAAACTTAGAAGTTTGAAAGAAGAAGCGCAAAAAAAACAAAGTGCAAACCCAAAAAGCACAAGCAAAACCAAGTGCAAGACCAAGTGCAAGAAAAGAGCGACCACGAAAGCAAAAAACACATTTAAAACATGGGAACAATTCGTACAACAGCATGGAACTACTACGAAGTAACTACCACTAACCTACCACCACTACTACTCCTGCTGCTGCTATGTACTACTACTTACTACCCGCACCACTGGTCACTAGCAAGGGCCTCTACAGACTAACTGCAGATTCGGAATTCGACGCATTCAAACATTTTGCGAGGGGGCCGGGTAGGGTTAGCACTGGGTTAGGAAGAAGGGCAAAGGTTCAAGGGCCTCCCGAAAGCCCAGCAGACTGGTTTTCTGGTGCCGGGTCAAGCGTCTCACTTTTGGTCGCTTTCTTTCTGGCGCCGAGTTTCTGGCGCACTTTTGGGCGTTCTTTTTCTGATGCCGAGTTTCTGGCTCACTCTTGGTCGCTTCTCTTTCTTGTGCCGAGTTTCTGGCATACTTTTGGTCGTTTCTTTTTCTGGTGTCGAGTTTCTGGCGCACTTTTGGTCGTTATTTTTTGCTCTTTCTTTGCTCTTTTTTGTTTGGAGGTTTCTTCCAGTCAAAACCTGTTTGGAGGAAATCTCCACGCAAACAAGTTGTGACCAGTTGATTGCGCAATTCTGGCCCCGTCAACGGAGCCTGGCCTTGGACTCCTTGGACCCTACAGCGCAGCGTGCGCAACCAGCTGTTTCTCCAAGGCATCAGCGTCGACATGCTCCCACCCTTCTTGAGTGAAGAGGTCAAATGGCAACGGGGTCAAAGGATGAAGACGTGCTACAGATCACGACAACAGCGCTGGTATCAACTTTTTGCCCTTCGCCTCCATACCATGGTGGTGTCATCACCTGGATCGAGATTCCACCAGGCTGGATTTTCCATCCAGACCCTCCGCTTTGTCAAAGTATAAGCTAGCGTTGCTTTGGCTGCTTCGGTAGGAACCCAGCGTAAGCTGCGACGTGTCTGGCGCAGCGCCGCCACGTCTATTTCCACCCTCTTTTCAGAGAAGGCGGCGGCCCAGCGGTGGATCGCGTCATAGAGCAGTTGGCGTAGCCCTCGCTCTTGCCCAAGCTTGCCGCCTCTGCGCCAGCGTCAACCTCAGCGCTGTCTGGCGCCTGTCGCTTCTCCCGTCCAGTAAGCTAGCGTCAGCTTCCTGCGACAAAGCCTCCTCGGCGTTAGCAAGCACCATGTAGGCGCCCTGGCTCTTGCCACCAGGTGCGTTTCGCAAGGCGGAATCGCCGAAGTTTGATGAGGACCATCGTGTTCAAGGGGATCGGCTTGATCTGTTCGCAGTGGCTTACTTCGACACCGAGTTGGCTTCAGCGAGATGAGCCTTCTCTACGAGCGAGGTGTCCGCTGCAAAGTCAGGTCGAGTAGTGGTTCCTGACATCCACTGTAGTGAGCCGGTAGCGGAGCAGAACTCCGATCTTTGCCCATCTTTGCCTCATGGTCTTGCTTGACCTTGGCGATGATCAGGTCAGCGGCGTAGTGGCTTTGGCCCAAGGTGATGTTGCCATTGGCGCGCTTGGCAATGCGCCAGCCAACAAAAACAAACTCATTCACTTCTCAGGGACTACCCCAGAAAAGACTTCTCCACGTGAGGGAGAACGCCCTCTTGCAGTGAGCTGGCCAGGATGTCGTCCACATGGATGCCCGAAACAGCAATGACCTCTCCGTTGATCTTGTTCACGAGACGCAGGGCTCAAGGGAGTGTTGCACCCACCGGAGCTTGTTGACCGTGACATCTAGAACACGCAAAAACCAAACGCATCTGCTTCTTGAGCCCACTCACACAGCCTCTCAAGACACTCCACGTTGAGGCACTCGCATATATAGGTCTTCTTGGGCCTCTCAATGGTCCGGCTTCCCTTGGAGGAAGGCGGATTTGCAGCCACCGTTGACGATGTCCGAACACGCCCATTGAAGGATGCACATGAGCCCAACGCGGGACAAAACAGGAGCGCCGCGAAAGGAGAGGAAGGTGAGGGTGACGAAATCTCTGTATCACGATGCAAGTTTTCGGTTTGAACGAGGCTCCTCCATCTATTGCCTTCCGAAAACATACCCGCGCGGGTAATATGAGGCGCTTCGCGACGTTCTTGGGGTCGCCATTGAATTTCTCGCGCGAAGCCCACGTATCCATTCATTCACTCCACTCCTTCTTCATAGAGTCCACGAAGGAGTCCCAGTCAGCAGCGCTGATCGACCGCCGTGGAAGCTTCATCATCACCCTCCGCGCCGAAGTCCTCGTACAGGTCGTCGAAGAACATCGTCGGCTGGAAGGCGCAGCGGCGCTGAACCTGCTGCCGCGCTACCAATGCGATTATGGCCCGTCAACGGCGCCTGGCCCTGGACCCTACAGAGCAGCGTGCACAACCACCTGGCGTCGACGTGCGCCCACCCTTCTTGAGTGAAGAGGTCACATGGCAACGGGGTCAAAGGATGAAGACGTGTTGCAAATCGTGACAACAGCAGATTGATTGGAGGAAATCTCCCAACAAAGCGGGACCAAGCAAAGAAAGAGCGAAAAAAGAATAGCGACCAAAAGTGTGCCAGAAACCCGGCACCAGAAAAAATGCGAAAGAAAGCGACCAAAAGTGCTCCAGAGAGCGCCAGAAAGCCCGGCTGAGCGCAGAAACCTCAGGGACCATGTAGATGTCAGCCACCCCATGCAGTTAGTCACCCAGTCGCTCACAGCTACAGCAGCAGTAGCAGTAGCAGTAAATTTGTCTGGGAGGACATCCTTCGTGGAACAGGTGCCAGGTGCCAAGGAAGTACAGGACGGGAAGTACAGGGCGCGACATCCATTGCTTTAATCCTTAGAGTCAAATCAGCTCCGTGCCCCGTGCTGTCTCACAGCGGCGCGCGGTTTGTTGCAAAGGTATTTTCTTTCTTATTACAAACACGCTGCGTTGTTCCATTGTTGCTTTAAAGTTTGTTTGATATTTTTTGCTTTTATGATTGTTCTTGTCGTTCTGGCTGCATTACGCGATTGTTTTTTGCATGCTTTTTGTTGTTTTTCAAGACAACTAACTTCTAGAATAAAGGAGTTTGGGAAACACAACTCTAGACCTTTCTTGTCCCCTCTTTTCTGCGTCTGCTTCTAGCTTTCTTTTATATATGTGAATTCCCCCAGGCCCATCATCGCCACCCAAGCTCGTGGCTCCCGAAAGAGCTTGATGTGCTTTCCCGGAAGGTTCACAGCGGCCTACAGACTGGCTGGATGATCTGGATGGGGAGTTGGGAAACAAAAAACAAGAAGTCGCGGCTCGTCCCTAAACAATCCACAGTGAACCGCTCCGCAAAAACCCTGTCATATGTTCAACACAGTTCGCAAGCCCGCAATCCTGCGTGTAGTTTCGCGTTGAAAGGATTTGAAGGCGTGGTGGATGGAGGAGCTCCAGGCTCGTCACCCTTCCCCCTTTCACCGCACCATGCCTTCTGCAAGCCACCTTCATCATCTGCATACCCCGCCACACCCGACTCCAATAGATCCTTCGCAGGACATCAAGCCGCCTCTGAGCTTAGGAATAGAAATATGTTGAAATCTTGGCTATCGGAGTTCAAGACTGGAAGAAGCGCGATTCTTGGAGCGCGTCTTCTTCAGCCATATCATATCACGTTGTTCCGTTGTCTCCCTGGCCACAACCAGCGTCGCTCTACGGGGTGTAAGGCCTACATCAAAGCTACGCTGATTAACTCGAATTGAATTGCTCAGACTCATCATTGCTTGTGGCCGGTCTTCTCCGCCTTCTACATAAATTTTCTTTTCGCGGAGTTCGGAACTCTCACTTCTGCTGGCGCAGTCACGACTTTTCCGCCCGTGTTGAGATTTGCTGGACCACTTCTACAGTAGAGCAAGTGGTAGCTCCTGGCAATACTACTAGGAACAAAAAGCTTCTAGGAGCAAAGGGCATCGCAACTAGTTGGGCGCCCTAAAAATCTAAGAACCAACTCATTGGCGCGAGCGTTTCTTCAAGGAAGCTCCCCTCGCCACCTTTAGGTCGGCGGGGGAGCTTCTGGAGGAAGTGCGAGCTATCCTTCGCCGAGCGCTCCCTTTTCTCGCGCCCAGATGGCTGTGGTGTGTATGTCACATGAAGTGCGTGATTTCTGCACCCCCTGCGCCACATAGCTCCATTCGACCGGCGTGGCAACTTCACAGGGGCAAAAGCAGGTATAGCGGAGTTTGGGATCCGGTTGACGTCAGACCCTTGCATCCCGCCCTTCCGCTCTTCTCGAAACCTAGCCGCTGCAGGTGTCGGCTGGACCTTCGTCACCAGGTCCGCATCATTGAACTTGCCGGCCACCTTGCCCACCCCCAGCTCTTTGTTGAACACCTTGTCCTGCAACGGGCTTGGGCATGTCTATTGGCGCCAACACCCTTCCTCTCACCCATCGCTTTGGCGGCGCTGCTGTCCACCGAAAGCTTCACCTTGCGAGCTTCATAGCCCCATCATGACTCCTCGCACAAACTCAGCATGAGTTGCAGCGCGGCGCATCTCATAGAACTCGCTCTCGCAGCTCGAGAGCGCCGCGGTCTTCTGCGACGTCCCCTTCACAAGGATTGCGCGGTCGCCTGCCTTGATGGCTGCTGTGGTGGATCTCTGGCTCCTGAGGTGTCCTGCCCAGTCCGAGTCAGAAAGTGCCACCACATTGAACTTCTTGATGGGCTGCTCGCGGAAGATCCTCTTGAGGTGATCCTTGCAGCCGCTGCCAATCCACCATCTTGGGGTTCTTCGTGGCCGACGCAAGCGACCTCACCACATGACACAGATCCGGCGTGTCCACACTCATGTAGGCCATCCTCATCACCATAGATTGGTAGAGGCTTGCTCTCTAGCACTGATTGCCGGTCTGCCTCCACCAAGTCGCGCTGGGTCATCTTGTCCTCCGGCACATCACATCCACGAAGCAAGATCTCGGCATGCCTGGCATCAGCTTCTTGCAATCTCCAAGCGCCTCCCATCATCGTCCGCTCCGGTCGTACTTGATGAAGCGGTGGAGGAAACACGCCGACCTCTTGTCATCCAACCAACGAAGTTGAGCGTCTTCGCCCACCACGAGGAAATCATCTCCGTGGAACAGTCCAAGTAGCCCACGTTCCTCGAACCTGAAGATGGCTGGGCATAGTGGACAATATGTCCCTCCATTCTGCTTCAGCCACTCTTTCCGCAGATCGCCCGGCTGCACCATGTCCTGCTCCGGCAGTTCCATGAAAATGTCACGCGCAGCTCGCCCCATAAAAAGGGCACGGGATATTTCCCAGTTGGCGAGTTCTTGGGATCCTTCGACATGAAGGCACTCAGCAGCGTGTAGACGGCCTTAATGGGTGAAGTAGCTGAGAAGGTATCTGCGCCTCCCAGCAGCACGAATGTCCTTGACATCAATCCATTTCCACTGCAGGAGCTTTGCAGTGGCCTCCCGACGAGGGAATGTGTGACCCACTGTAGTTCAAGCTCCGGACCTTCTTGGCCAGCTCCGGCTCCAGCAGTCACCTGAGACATTGCCCATGTACTGCTCCTCCTCCCACTGCTTCAGCTCCACATCAATCTCCGCGTAGAGCTGCTCATTGAACTCACGCACACCATCCCATTGATCCAGGATGTCGGCGCTGCTTCCATAGTTGGAATCAATCTCTGCGGCCGCGATCTCATTGTCCATACTGGCTGCCCATTCCAAGACCTCTCTGCTCTTGCAACCAAAGACCCCAGACACGTAGTCCTCGAGCTTGATGGCCCACAAGCGGAACTTCTCATCCACACTGTCCCCAAGGACCTGGGGCTTTCCAAGTCCACGAGGGTCAATGAGGCCTTTCGGCTTCGAAAGCTTAGACAACGATCATCTCTCTGACTTCTGGAGACATCCCACCTCCATGCGCCAGCGACAATGCAGCCTGAGCCTCAAAGGTCGCAAGCCGCTCCCGAAGCACCTGGTTGTCCCGTTGGGTGGTCATCACTTGCTGCTGCAGCTGCTGAAGTGCACTGGCGAGGTCCTCCATCGTCGCCATCGTCCAACAGTGCTCCCAGCACCGCAAGCGGCGCTCCCGTCAACACCAGGAGTTCGAGCGCGACCGCCAATTATGCTAGCCAGCTGCAACCACCACACGACCGCTCCCGAACACCTAGGAGCTCAACCGGCCTCTTCAAGGCTGCTTGGCCTTTGTTCAAGGCCCTAGATGCACCGTGGCACGCTACCACGCAAATCTCGCTTATGCCGAGCGCTCCCTTTTCTCGCGCCCAGATGGTTGTGGTGTGTATGTCACATGAAGCATGAAGTGCGTGATTTCTACATCCATACTAGTTGCTAGCTACTACTAGCCACCTCCCTAGCTACTACCTACCTCTTACCTCTACCTCCTAGCGGCCTACCCCCCTTTAAAATAATATACAAATATATATATATATATGTTAATTCGGGCCCTTCAACACCCACTTTACAACTTTCCGCCTGACTCTGCCTGAGCCATAAAAATCAGAAAGGAGGAAGTGGAGCCAAACACGTAACGATGACGGGATCTGCAGGAAGGGGTGCGTAGTTTGCGTTACCTTCAGTTGTGATTGGCCGCTGAAACGGACAACTTTTCTCCTACAAATACTCTCTCTCTCCTTTTCACTCTGACCCTCAGATCTCTCGGATGGACTAAAAGCACTTGCCAACACCCTCCTCATCAAATTCAAGGAGCTGTTGCAAACTCTGGTCATCAAACATAGCTTATGAATCTTCGGGGATTTGGCTGTCAACATTGAGACGAAAAGGATCGAAAAGGCGTCGTGCGGTGTCCTGCTGTTTCATCTCACCAGGCTTGACCACAGCTGTGAGATACTCTTCGTCACCCTGTATCACAAGCAGCTCATGAGGAAAAGGCCAGAACAACTCAACCGCGTTCTATATTGCATATCGTATCCAGGTGCCCCAGTTCTGCGCCTCAATCAACAGTGAAGCTTGAACACAAGCTGTAGACTCTCAATCAGTTCTTCAAAATGCTTTATCTATATAGTACTGGTTATTCTCCGACTCATTCAAATGTCTCAAGAGACCCAAGCCTCGCCCTGGCCCGTAGAAGAGCTGGGGTTCTTCCCTGCATCACGGCGGCCTGGGGACGCTCGAGGCCTTGAGATTACATTACAATTGAGAGCACACAACCAACGAGTTTTGTTTGGGTCTTTGGCGGGTTGCCCCAATGGAAAAGAACTATATACACGTTGGTGTCATGCCCAACACGGCACTGTCAGTCACTGTCATTCTCAGTTGCTCATGAGTTGCATTGGGTGTCACTGAGCATCCTGCGTTGTTGCCACTGTGGCACTCCCTGCATGAACGGAATCCGCATGATGTTTCCCCCTTGACCTTATTCGCAGCACGAAGATGCCTTGAGAAGGAAGAAACATCCATGTAAGCTACTGACTAAACAAACACCTGGCACTGAACAAGAACCCTGCTGGGAGCATGCTCAACCCCTTGTGTACGAACTTCGGGCCGAGACTTTCCAAAGAACAACAACTGTTCAACAATCTGCAGCGTCTGCATCTGTTTCAACCAGCTTAATTTAAGAAATATCTCAAAGGCGCCAGAGTCCGTGGCGTTCAAAGTCGGTGAGGCGCGCGTTCATAGCAGACATCCTTAAAGGGCCCGCAGGGTGGCAAAACCCATAGTTGATGTTTTGAGTGGGGAGCTGTAGTGTGATAAGAAAGATTAAGAAAGTATATACTGGTGAAGATAATAGATTATATAGACCCTGAAGTTCGGGGCCTAAGTCAGATTCCGCCAGCCGCCGGATACTTTAGGCGGCTGATTCCGCCAGCCGCCGGATACTTTAGGTGGCTGATTCCGCCAGCCGCCGGATACTTTGGTGGCTGATTCCGCCAGCCGCCGGTTACTTTGGTGGCTGGCTGGCTGATTCCGCCGGCTACTCTTTAGTTGGCTGGCTGGCTGATTCCGCCGGGTACTTTGGTGGCTGGCTGGCTGATTCCGCCGGCTACTTTGATAGGTTGCTGGCTGGCTGATTCCACCGCATACTTTGATAGCTGGCTGGCTGGCTGGCTGGCAGATTCCGCCGGCCACTTGGATAGGTGGCTGGCTGGCTGATTCTCCCGGATACTGTGATAGGTGGCTGGCTGATTCCGTCGGGATTTTGATAGGTGGCTGGCTGGCTGATTCCGCTGGATACTTTCATAGGTGGCTTCCGGCATCTCATTCGCGCGTTCAGTTGAGTCACTTTTCGCGTGTACAGACGAGGCGCCGGCCACAGTTCCCGTCTATTTTGAGTGAGAATGGTCCTTTACACAAGTCCCAGCTCCACGGGCCGTGGAGTTTCAGTGTACCGCAGTTAGAGGTTCAGAGGACCTCACCGCACTACCCAAATGCGTGTGACTGGTTCTGGCGCACGCCGCGCTAAAACCAGAAAGAGTGGCGGCGGTCCGGGAAAAGCGAGTTTGAATCTGATCTGGTCGAAATGCGTTCTTTCAAAAATAGCTGAAAGTTCACATATTCTCTACTTTTGGCACACACAGTTGGCTAATGAAGGAAACATGGACCAAACAAGTATTGGCGCCAAATGGTAAGAGGCGTCACAAGTAGTGTAGGCTGGTAATGGCTTCGGGTTTCGTCCAACAATACAAATTGATCCACTATAGTGGTCACATAACTAGTCACATTGCCATGCCACTGATGGCTAAACCCTTCAGATCCTAGAAGCTCATTTTGTCTGATGTCTGCCACGTGTCAAAAGAGCTCTGACGCGCGCTGTCCACGCAAACTGCACTGCAGCTTTCCGACATGCTGGCGCATCGCAAACATGCCTCTCTGAGGCCGGGAAAGCAAAGTCATGTTGTTGTTGTTCCATGGGAACGAAGCTCTTGTGGGAGCGCAGCAACATTGGACAGAGCGTTGTTAGCAATTTCCACCTGAGCCGATGTTTTTGCGCGCGTAAAGGTTGATTGACTGATTGATTGGTTGGAACCATGCCTCCTTGATCAACCCTTCGGGCCAAAAAGTGAAGCCATGTACGCGTCCTGGGAAGGCTTCCTGCCAGCAAGGCAAACAACATAAACAACCTGAGAAGCGGCAAAACGAAAGCCAGCGTTTTTGCTTTCGAGCGTGCTTTCTCAGGCCACCCCCGCGAACCCCCCTTCTTACTCAGCTGGCGCAGGTATAGATACCCCAATTCAGTTACCAGGTATAGTACTTCAAGTTCCCTTTCCGTCAACCGCTCGATAACTTTTACACACGTACAGAAATCCACAGCTTTGAAGTCTCATTGAACTTTATAGGTGTGTAAGAGATATAACAACATAGCATTGATACGGACCCCTTTATGTGGCTGATTCCGCCAGCCGCCGGGTACTTTTGGTGGCTGGTTGGCTGATTCCGCCGGATATTTTGCTGGCTGGCTGGCTGATTCCACCGGATACTTTGATAGGTGGTTGGCTGGCTGATTCCGCCGGATACTTTTTAGCTAGCTGGCTGGCTGATTCCGCCGGATATTTTGATAGGTGGCTGGCTGGCTGATTCCGCCAAGTACCCGGAACGCAGGGTCAATAGATTATGAGGAAAGTTTTTCCCGCCACATGAGGCCCCGGCTGCTGACTCCCCGGAATCGGCAGCCGGACAAAACGCGTCAGCAAACGAACCTAAGCCGTCAGAAGCAGCTTTGGACAAACGCATCCAGGGTGAGTAAACAGTCTTTCAGAGCGTTTAAAGAAACACTAAAAATACAACCCTGCGGAATCTGGGATACCCCGCTCCAAAGCTGTGAGAAGAGATTGAGGCATACATGCTGAACCTCAGTGAGCATGCGGTCACGGGACCTGGTTCTACGTGACCCTAGCTTTGACTTTTTGCAAATCCATGAAAGAATGGGTTCAGGTTCAAGTATTTGCAAATTCATTCACTTGTTGCACTTAGCGATTGACGACACTTGGCAAGACATACCCAGCTTGCATATATGGGCAGCCGCACCAAACACAAAGCAGCACGTAGGTGAAGGTTCCAGCTGCCTCAGCAACCGTAGGTAGGCCTAAAACGGAACCCTCCCCCTGCGTCAGCATCCATGAACGAAAAGCAAGAAGCACCTGTTTTGGCCTAAACTACCACTCTCTGTACACCGGTGAGGGCTTGAGCCCATGCAACACAAATCAACACAAAAGGATGACAAACAAACATAACAAACCAAACGAGCTATGCTGGCCATGCCAATTCACAACTCATGCCTTAGACACTGGCCGAAAGCCAGTAGAGCCCAAGCAAAAAGGGCGGTGCAGAGGTCTTGGCGAAACCAAGGGCTGATGAAGCTTAGCAAGTGAAAACATCTTCCTAGCAAGTCTCTAGTCTTGAAGTTGAAGTAACTATTATAAGTTTTCCTTATGTATATATATATATGTCACTGCACTCTCACGACGCCCTGCTCTTTTCAAAGGGGTTGCGCA